CAACTACCCGACCCAGTAAAAAAAAAAAGAAAGTTATAGAAACACGAACAAACATGCCTTATAATTTTTCCATCTTGGGAGACGGAGGAGCTTCTGCATCAGCAGGAACAATGAAGGAGAGCGGACAAAGCTGAAAGGACTCTTCTGACCCGAAACCTTTTCTGTCGAACAAGTCCCTGCGGATTGCGATGTGGAAAGTCCGCACCATGTATGAAGCTGGAAAGAGTTCTCAAGTGACACAACGAGATGGAAAGATACAGGCTGCACATACTAGGAGTCAGCGAAACCCACTGGATACAGTCTGGACAGAAGCAGCTCAGCTCGGGGGAACAAATATTATATTCTGGGAGGGAAGACAAGAACCATACGGAAGGAGTTGGAATTATTTTGAGTAAGTAGGCACAGGAGTCACTAAATTAGAGGATGGGAACCACAGGGGGAGAGGATCATCGTGGCTTCTTTCACTACTAGAAGTAAGAGCATCAACATGAACATAGTACAGATCTACGCCCCAACAAACAATGCTTTGGATGATGACAAGGATACTTTTTACAGCCGGCTCAAGGGGGTCATCGACAAACTACCATAAGGAACGATGTCAACATCATAATGGGAGATGCTAATGCCAAGATTGGTCAGGACAACGTAGGTTACGATGGAATCAAGGGACAACATGGCCTGGGACAAATGAATGAGAACGGTGAGCGATTTGCAAATCTCTGTGCTTTCAACAGTCTTAATCGGAGGCTCTGTTTTTCCCCATAAGAGGATCCACCACTGAATTCTACACTTAGTGTAGAATTCTGTGGGATCCACAAGGCTACTTGGGTATCACCGGAAGGAGTGACGGAGAACCAGGTCTATCATTTTTGTATCTCTCGTAGGCTCAGGAGTTCACTGGAAGATGTCAAAGTACAGACAGAGGCAGACGTTGGATCGGATCATCATCTGCTGTTAGCAAAACTCAAGCTTGGTCTAAAAAAGCATGGAATCAGCACAGGAACCCACAGAATGAAGTTCCAAGTAAGTCTTTTAGAATGACACTAGAAACCGGAGTTTCAACTGCAGCTGAGGAACAGATTTCAACCCTTGGCGGATCTTGGTGAGGAAGACTTGGAGGCGGAAATGCACTGGACCAAGGGCAAAGAAGTCTTTACTTCAACATGTCAAGAAATACTCGGTGAGAAGAAATAGGAGCACAAGGTATGAATTAGCCAACGGTCATTGGATTTGATTAGCATTAGAAGACAATTGAAAGCAGAGACAAATGAAAGTAGAACAAGGGGATCAAAAGCGGACGCATTGGAGCAGTACAGAAAAACAGCTAAAGATGTAAAGAGACCACGGAGAAAAGACAAGGAGGAATTCATGAACAGGCTTGCAGAGAGGGCAGAGGAGGCAGCAGCAGGAGGGAACATGCGAATCCTTTACCAGACTACAAAGACCCTTTCTGGAAAATATGGGAAACCAGAAGTAACAGTAAAGGACCAAGAGGGAAAAACCATTTTTGGAAAGGAAGCTCAGTCAAGACGATAGGTAGAGCATTTCAACAGTCTCCTGAACAGACCACCACCAAGTAACCCGCCAAACATCCGCCTGCAAGAAATGAGCTACCAATCTGCTGTGATGCCCCATCGAAACAAGAGATTATGGATGCCATTAAGAAGTTGAACAACGGTAAAGCGGCCGGTCCTGATTGGATTCCACCTGAGGCTCTAAAAACAGATACCAATGTGACGGCAGACCTCCTTCTCCCATTGTTTACCAGGATCTGGAATGAGAGCAAGTTCCCAAAGGATTGGGGAAAAGGACACCTTGTGAAACTACCTACAAAGGGGGATCTCAGCAACTGCAGCAACTACCGAAAAATCACTCTTCTCTCAATATCGGGAAAGGTCTTCAACAGAATAATTCTGGAGAGAATCAAGTCTGCAACGGATCCAAGACTTCGGGATGAACAGGCTGGTTTTCCGAAAAATCGGTCAAACACGGACCAGATTGCTACACTGAGGATCATAGTGGAACAGTCCCTGGAGTGGAACTCCCAGTTGATCGTCAACTTTCTTGACTATGAGAAGGCCTTTGACTGCATAGACCGAGCAACACTGTGGGAGATACTGAGACATCACGGAATCCCACAGAAGATGGTTAACCTCATCGGGAGCATGTACGAAGGGACAAGTTGCAGGGTTATGCATGATGGCCAGCTCACCGACAGCTTTGACATCAAGACCGATGTGAGACAGGCTAGGGATGTTTACTATCACATTTCCTCTTTATCTTGGCAATCGACTGGCTGGTGAAGGAAACCACCAGAGGCCACAGAAACGGTATACAGTGGACTCCACGGACACAGTTGGGCGATCTGGACTTTGCAGATGACTTGACGCTTCTGTCACACACTCAGGAACAGATGCAAGCAAAGGCAACAAATTTAAACAACATATCAGAATCTGTTGGATTGAGGATCCTCCCCGGAAAGTCGAAAGTCCTAAGGATAGATGCAACGAAAGGAGCAGGCCACAGTACAAGGAAATGCACTAGAAGACATCGAATCCTTCTGCTATCTTGGGAGTATAGTTGACAGAGAAGGAGGAACAGGCGCTGAAATAAAGTCCCGCATTGAAAAGGCACAGACTGCATTTATTTCTTTGAACTGGATTTGGAGGACCAGGGATATCTCATTACGAACAAACCTTAGAATTTTCAACTCAAATATGAAGTCAGTCTTGTTGTATGCATCCCATACGTGCATAAAGAGGATCCAGGTTTTCTTAAACATCTGTCTGAGGAAGCTACTGAGGATCAAATGGACAGTCAGGATCACCAACGAGGAAGTATTAAGAAGAACGAGACAGAGCCCAGTCAGAGATGAGGTGAGAAGAAGACGTTGGCGATGGATTGGACACACTCTCAGGAAGTCAAGCAGCTGCTTAACAAGAAAAGTGTTAGATTGGAACCTGCAGGGTAAAAGATCAAGGGGAAGACCACGTGGAACCTGGAGAAAAATCACGGAAATGGATATACAGAAAAGTGGGAAGACGTGGAGTGACATCAAGCGACTAGCCCAGGATAGGGAAAGGTGGAGAATGTTTGTTCGGGGCCTACAGCCTGATCCAGGGTGAGATGATGATGATGATGATGATGATGATGATGATGATGATGATGATGATGATGATGATGATGATGATGATGATGATGATGATAAATCGCTAGAGAAATATTCCCCTCTGTGTAAGTATTGTTCATCGTCAGACATTGACGGACGAATGTATGTACATGTATTATAAATAATTATTGCTCTGAATCTCATGGATAGAAAAGGAAACAAATAGAGAAGTGTGCCTAGCATAGCCGGCTGTGGAAGTAGGCTACTATAATCAGAACCTTCAGAAAAAGATAACTGAGATTCTTTGGTCACTTTAACAATCAAATGAACAAGAGAAACCGCTGCTGAGTGGGGAGACGAGAGAGAGAGAGAGAGAGAGAGAGAGAG